AATCAGAATTAATTACAAAATTTCATAAATCATTTCATCCTTAAAACTTTTAATTCTAGTAAATTTATGATTGAGATATTTTATTTTCTTGAGACGAATTTAAGATTACTAGAATAATCTAGTTATTGGTCCTAACAATCTCAATAAAAAGCTTGAAAGTATAAATAAAATTTTTATAAAATTATTTAAAGGGTTTGGCAAACACCAAAATTTGCATGTTTGTAATCAAGATAGGCATCTCGTTGACGTGTTTTCAGAAAGTTTGTTAGCATGAATCTTAGTTTATCTGGGCATTGGCATGGCTAACAGTTAAAATTTGTGTTCCTCTCCTATTCCATTTGTTGTCCTTATGGCTTGCAACTTGACAAGGTCACATGCCACCTCTCATTGGCACCATTATCATCACTCTTTTGATTGGCTAGGACCATCTATTAGAAGGCTGTCATAGCAAGCATTCACTTCAGACTAGGTGTTTTAGTTTGCGTATAGTTCATTGGTATTTCAAAGTGCCTAGAATAATAATGTATTCATAGAAATCGCAAGCCATCTAAAGTATTAATGTATTCATAGAATTATCTGCATTTATCATGTGTGAACATGTGCCTAGAATAATGTGTAACCTCAATTAACAATCTCGATGTGAGAACTCACCTTTTTTTTGTAGATCGACCAAGTTAAGTAATTCTGATTCGTTCAATTTGGTCAAAATAAATCAATTTATACTTATTATTATTATTTTGCATATAATCCATAGTTCTACCTATATGTATATATACATATATAAATATGTGTATACTAGTGTGTAAAACATATGTATATTTTTGTCAAAGTATGTCACCAAAAATCTCCCAATGCCTTATCGTGCAACATGCCACTTGCTATTCTCTTCATATAATCGCTTGTATGATGCCCACATATTTCATTATACCCCCAAGGCAACACTAAGAGGAGGATGCTTACCCATGATTTGACTTACAACATGGTGGAGAGTAGATAATAATTTCTTAAGGTTAAGAGGAGGAAGAAGGAGCAAGCTTCCTCCCCATCCTCTTCTCCTCTTGGACACCTTTCTAGAAATAAGGCGGGCAGTTGTCTTGTTGGGTGATTCATTCTACTTGCATTCTTGGAGTTATTTAAAAAAGAAATTCGCGTGTTAGACTCCCCTTTTTATTAAGCCTTCTCTTCAAGTGCATGTAGGGTTATCTTAAAAGCTTTTATTAGATTTATCAGGCCAAATCTCAAGAAGTTGTATGAAGTTCCCCTTAAAAGGCTCCATAAAACTTGAAGCGTTTACTGTAGTTTCACAACATTTCTGACTAAAACCACATCTTGGTAAACTCTCAATGAAAGAAAATAAGTTTATTGAGAATTTTTACTGACGTCTTACCACGCTTATTCACTTCTTATGTCTCTCATTGTCTGAGATTTTAAAAACCTTTTTTATTAAACAAAATTCGCACTTCCAATTTTGTAATCCCTTTTAGTCGTTCTTAATGATGATATATTGTTTTCAACAAATTTTAATTATGATGATAAGCATTTCAATGTTTCATGTTTTATATTTACTTACCACTCTTGAACACCTTACGTGCACATACAATATGACTCCTAGTTTTATAAGAACTCACCTAAATTTGAGACATTTATTCATTCATCTTGATAATGCCTATATTCTGTTCTTAAATTATCTATATCCATTTTGGCATTTTCTCTTAGCAGCTATCTCAACATACTTTATCAATAGTCCATTTTAACATATTCTTGCAACTTACCTTGGTAGATTCTCGTAGCAACCCATACTAATATAATCTCTCAACAACGCATACTCTTTTAACAACTTATCCTGAAACTTTCTCCATTTCCTAAATTTTACACTCTTAAAAACTTATTTTTAGTTCTTTCTCTCAATACGTTAACTTGAGATATTCTCTCAATAGATCCTTTCTGGACATCATCTTGGTAGATTTTTTCTTGCATGCTATGCACCTAAAAATTATTTGGCTAGTTCACGAGGAGCTTACAAATAAATTATGGCCAACATTTCCAATCGCCAATATGTTGTTCCATCCATCCATTGTATGGGTGGGTCAATTAGGCTAATGTAGGGGCAAGTTTATCTAATTCTTTTTTATTTGCCAAGGTTATGGTTTGGTTCGTTAATTTTTGGTAGTACAAGTAATTTTTTCAGGATAATTCTAAATAAAGATTAGGTTATCATTCTTAAAATCTATCAACAAGTATCAATTTTTTTTAATGTTTTCATTATTTTAACGGGGAGCAAAGTTGTAGAGAATTTAGAAGTATTAACTACTAGTGCTATTAAACGATCACACCAATGTTCTCAAATTCATTGAATGTTTCAAAACCAACAATGCTCAACAAATTTGTAATTGACCAACCTCCATTGACAACCTACTGACGAAGCCTAACTCTATAAGTTTGCCGGTGTCCATCTTTCAAGGTCCACATACTTATAATTCTCTATGCTTGTCATCATCCTTCATTGACACCTATCTGTTCACAATATTGGACTTCTTCAGACTAGCTTTACTTTGGTTCATTGAGTTTTAACATTCGTGATTAAAGGATGTACAATGTTTGATGTTTGCCTACTAAATCACTTGGTACATTTGATGTTTGCTGGCTGATTACATATAACTGTCATTGTCAATTAATTTATGTTGATTTATATCTATTGACATTCGTCGATGCCCTTTTTTCGACACCATATCTTGTTCTTTGTTGTTAATTAAAGGTCATTTATCGATATATGTCATTAATGGATAAATGTCTATTTATTCACAATTCATCAAGAGGGCCCATCATTGCGTGGAACCTAGAAGGGCAGATGCTTACTAATGCTTTCATCTACATTGATGTTTGCCACTTGACTATACGTGACTATTATCACACTTGTCATTCATTAATTTGTAACTCCCAACAGCTATTATCCTTTTTTGTCATTCATTAATTTGTAACTCCCAACAGCTATTAATATCCTTTTCTTTGCGCCAGTTGTCACCCTTAATTGTCAATTGATATTTACTTCTTGATTTCCGTCAATTACAAACAAAAGTCTATTTATTCACAAGTCACAAGGGGGGCCATAATTTCATGGACCCCAAAGGACCATGAATGGAAAAAGTTCTCTTTATCTAAAAGTCTCTAGGAGCGCCCAACATTGTATGGACTAGTGCATGAAAATGGACAAAAGTCTCGTCATCTAAATTATCCAAGAGGATACTCTAATTTTGAAGTATTAAATATAAGTGTTGGATAGTAGTCTCATTAAATTCTCTTAGAAGTGCTAATCTCAAGAGTATAAGTGATAGACATTGCTCTTCACTTATCTAAAAGACCCTTCACGAGTTTGTTGATTTAAAATCGCTTGAGGGTGCTTAGTGCTGGACAAGATCCTCATTAAAAGGCCTTAAAGAGGATGCACTGCCTTAGAAGTTTTAGAGGATATCTAGTGTTGGGTAGAATTCTCACTAAAAGTTTCTAAGAAAGGCTCCAAAATTTATGGACCGCAGGATGTGATAAAGGAGTTTTCACTTACCTAAAAGACCCTGTGGGCATTTTGATTTGAAATCTCATAAGAGTGTTTGGTCATATAGAAGGTCCTCATTAAAAAAATCCCTAAGACGATTTCATAAATTATGGACCTTAGATTGGTAAGTTTCGTGTAGATTCTCCATTTATCAAATTGATCCTAGAGGGCATGTTGATTCAAAAGCACTAGAAAGGCACCTACCTCACTAAAAAGTTCTCAAGTGTTTACAATTTATGGATCTCATGAGATCAAGTGATTGATAACGTCTTCAATAATCTAAAATTTTGAAGTTGGCATGCAAATTCTAAAGCCTTGTAAGGAAACTAGTGTTGGACTTGGTCCTAACTAAAAATTCCCTACTACAACTTATTGTCATATAATCTACAAAAAAAAATTTTAATAAAGGAAAACACCCAACTTCATTGTCCAATGCTAGATCTACTCTATTTCATTTGGGGATCAATATTCCCTCACTTCTAACTTAAGGATCTATCTTTAAGTTCCTTGATTTCAAAGTTATTTGAAGGATTTAGTCACGTGGAGTCATAGTCCTAAAAAATCTTTGTCATGCTTTTATGGCAATTATGGCTTATTATCCCAACACCATAATCCGATTGACATCCCATAAAATATTCCTTGTAGAGCTTAGGGGGCTTTTAAAAAGTTGTAGTTTTTTAAAATTTAACATAATCCAATGTTCTGTTCTGGTTCTAGAGAGACATACTCATTATTTCTCTCATCAAATCATTTTCCAATAAACTGAAACTTCGCTCCAATGGCCTATCGGATTGTTGAAGAGTCTTCTGTTTACTCAATTTAAAAAATCCGATTAATAGCTTAATCACTCTCTAATATTAGATTTTTTTTTCATAAAAAAACTATAATTTAGCAAATTTTAGTTACATGATGAAGTTGATTGTACCAACCTTTTTAGGCATACTTGAATTCTTAAAATGTCCATTTATCCACTCAATGTGGTAATCTCCCATCAATTGTCAAACCAACAATTTCTTAAATTAGTATCCCATTAGGATGTCGAGAAAATAATTTTTTTGAAATCTAAGAAACATCTTGTTACTTCAAAATTTTATAGAAGTTGAAATTTTCAATCACTAAACGAGTGATGAAATCTTGAGTTTTATGCGACTTTGGATTGCTCTAAAAAAGAGAATATTTACCTCAATTTTTTTAAACTTTGTATATTTAGCCCTAAACTAAAACCCTACGTTTTCTTAAATTATTGTGGCTTCTAAAAACATATGTTTAACCAGTTGTTAGCTCATTGGTTTCTCGTTGTCATGACTAAATCCATAGCAAGGTTGTTGCCAAATGTTGACATATTTTTATGACAGAAAAAAATACATCCTATGCTCCGACTTTTGTTTCAAATGATCTGACTGTTTGATTTCACATTTGTTAACTTTGGCTTTGTTTGGTGCAACTGCAGGTTCTCAGCTTTTCAGCTGCAGCTGCGTTGCCCCGGGAAGCTGATGCGGGAAATCTGACTATTTGTTTGGTGCAGCTGTGTGAAAACAGTTTTGGGGCAGCTGTTTCTGACAAAATGACCATGCTGCCCCTGTTTGGTAAAATTGTTTAAAAAAAACTGTGAGAGCGATATTTTATACTTCTGAAGCTAAATTTCACTTCGAAATATTTCAAAAATTCAGATGCCCAACTAACTTAACGGTGAGTACGGATAGTGATAACGAAAGATGAAAAAACCATAATTCATGAAAACCATAGGCAGAATTTTGTAAATTATCTATATCCAATTAATGTTTTTTAATTCATAACTTATTTTGAAGAGCTAAAAATCTTTGAATACATTTTTAACAAAGAATCATTACTGTATTATGTTTGAGAAGTTTCATTTGCAATACTAGTGTGAGGTCAATCCATGAACAAGCTTGCTTGCCAGTTACTTTATGAGCTAAACATATAAAAAGTAGACTTCTGCAATTTATAGCCAATCTCAAAAGCCATAAATTTAATAATTTTAATGCTAAAATTTAATTAAAAACTATACAGAATTACAAATACACATTTCAGGCCACAGTGACATTCAAGAGAAAAAAAAAATCTAAAACAATTACAATGGCAACTAATAAGATGATTATATTATTTTTAACATTCAGACAATATAGCTCTCGTGCAATTCTTTCCTCGAGTGATGTTCTCCATTCCCCATTATTCTTGTCAGGGGAATCCGCCAAATAGCCTGCCCAACGGAAGAAGTGACATTGTTCTGCGATGCTTTGTGGACAGCTATAGAACTGTTTCCCAAAGCTGTGTGACCGACGTGATGTCAACAAAGAAGTTTGGAGGACACAGTGACAGACCAGTCGTCGCGATGTCCTGAAAATCCTTGGCTCATGTTTTCCTGTTTGCAACAGTAGAGGAATTAACAACCAAATATTGTTAGTATAAAATAGAATAGTACATCACTCACATTATGCACTAAAACATGAGCACAACTTCCATAAATTGCAAATTACCATAGACTTTTAATGCGCCAAATAGTTGTTCAAGGTTATAGAAAAGTGGAAACAAGTTGATGAATCAAAGGCTCATATTGGCCTCATTACATTCAAACCACTTGTTCTCAACTAATAACACATATGCAACAATTATGCTTAGAGGCAACTATTAATCCTAGCTGCAGTAAGACCATTCATGTAAATACGTACAAATTATGTTGTATATTGGTAAATTCTCCTTTCTGATTTCATCTCTATTAATCCCATCTGCAGTATCATTCAAAACATGATTGTCATTCAACACAGTTAATTTCAAAAAACAAAAAAATGGGAGGATAAAAAATAGATAGTCGAACGCTAAGATTCACCTTCGATCCATCCCATCTAACGAATGATAAACCCATTTTTCAGTCACCATGACACAACTGCGGAGGTCGCCTGCATATCAATGGGCCATCTAAGATACCCCAACACATTACAATGTAAAAAAGAAGCATTAATATCCAAAAAGCCGCAAGTAAAAGGCTTGTACTTATTACATGTACAATGCTCCAAGTTCTTTTAGTGACTAAGCATTAATTTGTTTAATCAAGGCAACTGCTTTGTACAAGCAATCCGTGAGATCCTATGAGCTCTTCCAGTAGATCAATGAATACTTCCTGCCTCATTCGGAACATGTTAAAAAATCTTGTTGGGTGCGCTGTAAACAACTCTTCAACTCATTTGTCGTCAATGTACGAAGATGTCATGCATGGCGACCTGTCAATGTATAAGTTGTAGTACTCGTAGATCAAACATATGACAGTTAGCAAAATTCTTCTGCGCTTTCTTTTGCGTGCATCCATGTTGACTGATGCATGTCCTCTTCTACTTGCATTCATGTTGTACCGTATGCTGCACTCTAAACCCAACACTTTGATGAGGTACTTAAACATTAAAGTTTCATGAATTTAAAAAATGAAACATCTACATATAATTAAAAATGTTGTTAAGAAATATGCATAATAAGAAAAATATAGAACTAAAGAGTTTATAAGTAAAAACCTAGAAAATTAAAAGAAATATAATTCATTAGGAATGTTCTTGCGATGACATAAAAAAAAAAAGTTAAATATTCAGACGATCATAAAAACGTCGGAGATACGACACTTTGCGGGCAACAGACATCTTCACAAATATATCTCTATGGACGGGGTCCTCTATCAACTCTGTTGCGAACACATACAACGTTTCTTTCTCATATATTTCACTTGAAGCATAAAGGATTTCTAGTGCCTCCTCGATAGTGGTTGAATGAGAAATCTGTGATTTTGCATTGTAAGCGGTAACCAACTGGGAGATTTGGTTTCTAAGAAAACCAGAACTAGATTTGTTTCTATTATCTACCCTTAGATGCTTAGCACGGGGAGTCGAATCATATTCGTTATGCTGTGGACTGGGCACTTCAGCGGGATCACCCGAACCTACGGGTGTTCCCAGATCCACGGGATTGGTAGCAAACCCTGCCTCGCTTGGGCACCATGCATAGCTTCCCGTTGCAACCACCCCCTTGAACATGCAGTCTAGCTTTTCTTTGCAGCGGGCACCACCTAAATATAATTTAGCAGAAACAAAATTAGTAAAAAATTAAAAAGTGACTAATTAACAAAAGTTTTGAACAATGCTTACCACAAGTCTTTCGCCCACCACTCCTCGAATGCATCTATTGTTCGCTTTACCGAATTCCACCACCCCAATCCTTTTGAGTCTCGTTTAAATTAAAAAGTTGATCCCACTTGTTTTTTAATTGCATCCTGTTATACTCTCTGCTTGTAAGTTCCTTGAACTTTTTTGTAATATTTTGCCACCCTTCTTTGTTCAAAAAGGTTTTTGGCCTATTTCCTTGTTCTATTTCCTTAATGCAAAGGTCGCAAAAAATTATTTTGGTCTCTTTTTCCCATAATGCCGGTATAGTTGTTTCTTTGATCTTATTTGACATTTTATTACTACAGAAAATAAATATATTGTTACATGGACATAAAACAATTTTAGTACACTCCTCCCCCTACAAAACAAATGGTTATTACATAAATCATTGCATTGCAACAAAGAGAAATAAATAAGTGAAACGACAACTAAAATTTTTGAAATGTGGAATTGACAAAATCCTGATTGCAAAATGAAAACTCCAATAGTTCGAGTGGAACTTCTCATATGAGATTGTTGATTTATAGTAGGAAGATAATAGGTGCTTTACTGAGATGTTTTTCTTGAATAAAATGGGCAATCTCATTTCAAATGCCATGCCCTCTTATAAACCCGCCTAGTCCCACAAGTAATTTAATAAGTGAAACGACAACTAAAAAGAATTCCGTTGTCTGTTGTTAAAAATAGTTTTTTGGTAGCCTTCCTTATATCATTAGCATGATGGAATAAAAATGAAGGAAATTTGCAAAAGAACCACAAAATTCTTATGAATTTACATATGTAACACCTAGTTTGATTTTTTTATAATTATAAGATTTTGGTGCTATAGATCTATGCATGAAAAAAGTGCACTTGTCTTCTAAAAAATTAGTGAAGTTGCATTTTAGATGTGATATTAGGGATTTGAGTGTTACGAGCATAAACATTAAAGTTTAGGTGTTTTACATATAAAAATCATCTTCAGCAACTAATACCTATATGATAGATATGAGGTACTGCATCAATAAGCTTATTAGTGCCAGCTCACAAATAAATAAAACGCCTTTATATTGAAAAGGACAACATGTTAATGATTAACAAACAGAGGTGAAGTGATGCAAACCAAAATCTTCTATCAATGGGAGTAGTACATATTGAAGGAGATGCTGTACCCTCTCTAACATAGGCAAAGAAGATGAAATGTGGATATATTCGTTATCTGAGGAGTTTTATCACTCTTCAAAGAGGCATGAGGACTACAATTAGAGGACCATCATGCAAAACATACGTATCTCCAGCACACTATCGTTGAAACATGAATCTATCAACGTACAAAAATTTGGTTTCCAACAAAATGAAGGTGATCAAGTGATCAAGATCATATCTAATATCAGAAGAGTTTACTTCATCTACTCAAAGACATCCCCCAAAAAGAAGAAAAACAAGTCTCTGAAAGAAAGAATAACGGAGCAAAAGCTGCCAACAGTGGAGAAGCCTTCATTACTAGAGGAGAATGAGAAACGATTCTCTTGCCAATTAAAAAAAGAAAATGGTAGAAGAAATTAACCACTTTTCAGCCTTGGCAAAGCTCTGAAGGAAAAAAAAAAAAACTTACCGCCGCTTGAAAAACCGTAAGAGAATAGTTCAAGGGGGGCAAATCTCGTGAAGAGGAGTACCCTGGGTTGGCGAAGAGGAGGAGATGGGAAATCTTTGCTCGGTAAGAGAATGATGCTCGGGAAGAGGACGAGATTCGGGAGTTGAGGAGATTCGGGAAAGGGGAAGCTCCGCTCATGTTTAGGGTAGAGTTGAGGGCACGAGTGTAAAACCCATTTAACGTGATGGCGACGAAGCTAGGCCACGGGTATCTAACTGCGTTACGTGTTCAGCCTGATTCACGGTCAGTCGCAGACGAGACGCCGCACCAAACACGAAATAATCGCGGGGCGGTGCCAGGCCGCTGCGCCTAACAGACCACCCTTTATTCCACTTGTGGTGGCGAGAAGTTATGCTAGAATTTTCTATCAGACAGTATATATTCATTATCTATTGATTAGAGTTAAATCGTTGACTTGCTCAAATCATAGTATTTTGAGTCGATTCTTATTAATAAAAATGTTGAAGCTCGAGATGTAGTATAAAATATTTAATTGACTTGGTGTTACAACCATGCTGAGGTGGATAATATCGCTCTCTTTCTCTTTGAAAGGCTGCACAGGGAGATTCGCTGGTGGAAGAGTACCTAGGTTGCTGTGAATTGCACAAGGAAGGCAATAAAAATGATTATCCCTGTTCGTTGCTTTACCTGTGGAAAGGTATTCCTTTTAAGTTTCGTCTTCTGCTTCTAATTTTATCTTTGCATAATTTGAAGTTTCTATCTTTATGGCTCTCTTGGGGGTTTGTTTTCTTTTGTTGATGCTATTCTATTTCATTGGATTGGGGATTGCTTATGGATTCAACTTGGACCTTATTATTTTTTAGGTGATCGGCAATAAGTGGGATCAATATCTCGATCTTCTTCAGGCAGATTACAGTGAGGGGTTAGTATGAATCGTTTACCCTTGTTTTTATTGAATCGCAATAAGCTCTTGTTCAGAGGATATATTTCGATCTTGTACTTTACCTTTTGGCTTGCTGGAGCTTCCTGCTTGAGCCTTTTAATGTGTTTTACATTTCTTTTTGTGTGATGATGCAATTAATAGAAACAAATTGGTCTCTTTAGTAGATATGTTGTGAGTGTTGCATTTATGAATGATTCGTTCAATGGTTCATTCGTTGGACTCCAGTAGTGAAACACTGCGCATAGAAGATGATTAAATTCATCTTTTTGGTCATTTATGGTCAATACAGTGATTTCTTTACAAGTTCTAATAATATAGGTTAACTTTGTCAGAATCAGATGTCTAATTATTTAATAACTTTGCACTATTGGGTATGCCTGTAGTTAATTCTTCGCCATGTTTTTAATTAAGAACTGGCTGAAGTTAATCGATCATCTTTATCTTTTTGTTTATTGGAATATTTTATCATAAAAGACCTGAATCTGTCTTAAATTAAACTTTTGCAATTCATCTTTGGTTGTTATTACTAATAGATAGTAAACGTGTAGAAATTGGAAATACACAATATCCGGTTTCATGGTCCAACAAGTGAGAAATGTATAAAAGTTTTTGAGTATATTAGGAGCTTATGAGATATATGTATGGACATAATCGAGTTTGTTCAATAATTGGTAAATGTAAGCTAACATTTTGTTTCACAAAATAAATAAAATGCTTCAATACTCGATTGAATAATTTTATACTTTGCTTTTGCTTGTTCCATTTAGCACCAATTATCTTTAGGAAGAAAGATTGATTTTGCCCTTGAGATAATTACATTGCATAAAAACATTCCTTCATTATCTCTATCATTTCCTTTATCTCAACTCCTCACTTGGAGTTGTGGTTGACGCCGGAGCAACTCTCGGGATCTCGCAATCCGATTATTGCGGGATTCCGTAGGATTGTAGACTACCATGCAATTTCGGGTTTCTAAGAAGGCCACTAACTTTCACTAAGCCGCTTATTTTTTCCTTTTCTGGTTTTCCTATTTCTAGTTAAGTTATTTTTATGGGAGAACTATTTATATCTTGTTATTTCTTGTTTTTCCATATTTTCTTGCTTTGTTTATGTATTTTGGAGATGTTTTCTTTGATTTCTTGATTTCAGAGTATTGTATCTTCTTCATTTTGCAAGTGGTGCGTTTGTATTTCACTCAAGATTAGGTGATGAATCTCCTCACTGCTTATATCACGATGTTTTGTTATCTGCCTCTTTTTCATCAGGGACAACTGCCAAACTGCTCAAATCCTCTGTTCAAAAGTAGATTTCGTCACTTATTCCCCTCCAAATGCCCTCAACCTTGCCTACTATCATTCCTTTGCTATTCTTCAACCACCTTCACTTAAAATCTGCTTCCTAAACACTCTCTATGAGATCTAAAATGGTATGATCTAGTTTCAAAGCCTGCATATTCTAAATTTTTTTAGGGATTTGTCTTTTTTTGCTCTCAAATTAAAATAAATAAATAAAAAGTATATCCTCACCATTCCCAAATCATTCATACCTCAATTTCTAGACCCAACTTTAAATTTTCAAAATTCGACTTACCGATCTTTACTAAAATTTCACGTCAACACCTACCACTAAAATCCTATCCTTGACCAACATTGATTTTGCAAATCCTATGTCCGCTAGAAATTTGTTCGGGAGAAAGGACGGCATGCCACCTAGGAGAAACCTTCATTGAGGTGCTTAGAAACTTACTATGGAGAATATGTAACAAAAAACTCCCTAACTACAACAAATATTTATCGTCTTTGAGAAAAGACAATTTAGTGAGATCACTCATTCAAGGGAAGAAAGTGAATTCCTTTCATCAGGAAATTTTTAGTGACAAAGAACTAATACCCCATGGTTTGACATGCAAGATCAGAGAAGAAGTGAATTTCGTGGAGTAAAGATGGATTTACTGGATTTTGATGGTATCATGGATTCGATCGAGTTTATCGAGTAATTCCAAAGAATAGAGCAAATTTTTTAGTACGAAGATGTTATCCAAGACAAAAGAGTTAAATTGACAGCCATCAATTCTGGAAGAATGCTTAGTTGCAGTGGGAGAACTCGAAGCATCTTCCCCGTCATGAGGAAAAAAATAAAATCACTACCTGATCTTAAGATAAGAAGGGAGATGCAACACAAATATTTTTACTTGCATTACCGACAAGATATATTCATAAAATTCTTCATCTTGCGCTGGAGATCTTGTGGAGGATTACATAGTTGAGTTTGATCAATTCATACTGAAATGTAAGTTGATAGAACAAAAGGAACACACAGTAGTGAGGTATCTCAAAGGATTGAAGTCATCTATTAATATGTGATTTTGCTGTAATCATATTAGCTCCTACTCGATGTACAAACCCTACTTTGAAGGTTGAGAAATATTCCTAGGTGATTGCCACACCTTACAGGCAAAGTTCAAACGTGGTTATCCTAGAGGTTTCAAGCCATCTATTAATGTGTGCTACAATTGTAGCTATATTGGTTTCTACTTGATGTACAGACCCTTAACTTTAAAGGTGGAGAAACAATATCACGAGGTGATTGCCACACCTTACAGGTAGGGCTGTAAAAAAAGCTCGTTGTTCGCGAACAACTCATGTTCGGCTCGTTAAGTAGCTCGTGTTCGGCTTGTTCGTTAAGTAAACGACTTTAAGACACGGGGCCGAACACGAACATCTCTTTATTCGCGCGTGTTCGGATCGTTTTAGCTCGAAATAAAAAAAAATATACAATTATTTATATAATAATATATTACATATATTATCTGTATTATAATATATTATATATATATTTATATCTAAGTTTAAATCATAACACCTCGTATGGTAATATGGTTAGTGCATTCTTTTGTATACATTTGGTCCAGGTTCGAATTTCATACTTTACATTTATTTTTTTCAATTTAATTTTTACGAGCCAATTTCGAGCCGAACACGAATACAAATATTTAAATCGAGCTGAACACGAACACACTGTTCACGAGCCGATTTCAAACACGAGTCGATTTCGAGCACGAGCTATTTCGAACGAGCCGAATACGAGCCAAGTCTGAGCTTGCTCAAGCTCGGCTCGTTTACAGCCATACTTACAGGCATAGTTCAACACCTGGATCAGGTGTTAAGTGTACGCTTAGCGAAGCATCCATGCCAACCCTGCCCGAGAAAAAATAAATTCAGAGTGAAGAAAAAGTGGCGCAACCAGTACTCCCAAACCCATCTCAGGTAGGAAATGTTTTAAGTGTCATGGTTTTGGGCACATTGCATTAGATTGCCCAAATATGAGGATGATATTATTGATTACGTAGTGAGCAGTTGAAAAAATAGATAGTGACACATGAGAGAATGAAGATGTCAAAGAGGAGAGACAACGTCCAATGAGAGATAGATGCTAGTGAGCAGGACTAATAAAAGATAGTGAATATGAGGAGTTGACATTAGAAAAGGAACAACACCTGTTGAGGGAGTTGTTGATGTCCCGACTAACAGTTTGTCACCGGGATGGTTACAACTGAAAGTGATTCAAAATGTCATAGATTTCATTTCAGGGTTTTTTCTATCAAACCAACTTGCCCATGGTATGTGATCAACCGAGTATGACAAGTTGCAAAGATGTGTTACACATTGCATGGTTAGTGACTTGTTTCGTGAATGCTAGCTTGGATACTGCATCAATTCTAATTGTGCTAAATAAGGATGACTTTATTTTATCTAAATAGATTTTGCAATGACGTATGCGTTTAAAGTTACCTAGAATGAACGTGGGTATATTTTTTATATTGGAGTTGTCTTAGACACAATAAGACAATATTATTGTCATTATTTGGTCGACAGTTTCTCCAAAAAAGGATCTTTTGTTCCCCTCCACAGGATAATTGACACCACTTATCACATATTTATGCTTCAAGGAAGTTCGTCTTTATGATATACTCAGGAGCATTACTTCTGATAAAGATTTTGACATTTTTAGCAATTTCTGGAAGGCTCTATGGAGTAAAATATGTATTAAATTTCAGTTTAGTTCAAGAGTGTTGTCCTAGAGAATAAATGGCTAGCTAGGAGCAATTAACCACAACTTTGAAAATCTCCTTAGGTATTTTGTGAAAAGAACATTCGATAGTGAGTTTCAGGTTCTAGAGAAGAAGCCTCTCCTAGTTAATGATGCGGGAGAGACTCCCAGGATCCCATGATCCTGTTTCCGTGAGATATGCGGTCTGTGGGTTCCGCTAGATCGTAGACGACACCCAATGTGGGTTCCGAATTGGGCGACCTATTTTCAATTACTCACATTTTTTCCTTTTTATGATTTTTCCCTATTTTGCTATTTTTAATTATTTTATTTGAGGAAACTATTTATATCTTGTTATTTCCAGTTTTTCTAGGTTTTTGGCTTTGTTTATCTATTTTGGAGTTGTTTTCTCTGATTTCTCGTATAAGGAGTGTTGTATAATATTCTTCTTATAAGTTGTTTGTTTGTATTTTACTTGGGAAAAGGTGGTGAACTTCCTCGCTGCCCGTGCCTTGTTGTTTCATCACCCGCCTTGCTGTTTACAGTAGGGACAGATGCCAAACAGCTCAAATATGCTGTCCAACAACAGATTTTGTCGCTTATGCCCCTCCAAATGCTGTCGACCTCACATACTATCATTACCTTCTATTTATTACCCAACCACCTCCACTCTAAATCCGCTTCTTAACACCTTCTAACAGATCTTGAACAACAATATCAGTGACTATATTCATTGACATTGGCAACTTGAAATTAGTGTGAGCTGATATGACACCATTATATATAATTTTTCTCGGAATGATGTCACTAAATCATCTTTGAAAGCAGTTCTGGCTGCTACATTTTAATCAAAAAAAAAAAAAAAAGAAAGAAAAATTGAGTTATTCCTTATATTCCCATGGATGAGTTTGAATTCACAACTTTTGGTGCTTGTAAGTGGTTTATTGGTAAACATCATCTTTCATATATGCTTTCTGGAATGATACTAGCTGTACTTGCTTGTACAAGTGTAGAAATTTGCTTACTTTACTCGACACCTGACTCTGAAGTTTGGGATAATAAGGCATATATTTGTAGCATTAGAAAAAGTTTCGTTTATTAAAGTTGAAACCAAGTGTATTTTTTTGTATAGGCTAATTGGATTTATTTCTGTTCACATTCACCAAATCTTCTTCATGTTTAAGCTTTGTTTGATAAGAGGCCATTTGGTTGCATATTTTTACAATTCTTGTATTTTAGAAATGTAAAATAAGAATTCATGTGGTCTTCTCCCAATCTAAGAGAGTTTCAAACATTTCTTTGGAGTACAAGAAATTTCTAAATACTTTGCATTTGGTTTAACACAAAAAAAAAAAAAAAAAAAAAAAAAATCAAAATTTATGCATTTCTTCTCTTAATACTTGCAACCAAACCACACTCATAATACTTGTACAGCAGGATGATTTACAAAATTTTAAACTAGGCTCATCTAATGGATCTAATCTCGTGCACCTTCACCGAATCTGAATCATCATTGTTTGTTTAAACTTGTTTGCTTGCGAAATCCTAAAACTATTGAAAATACCCAAGTAAACAATCATACAATGAGACCGAAATTGTGTTTTATAACGATGCCCGGGAGCTTGAAGCAGGCTTATTTTTTCCTATTTATTTTGGTATAGAGTCAAATTCAGATTGAATGCTTGTTACAAACTTTATTCTTCTTACTCTAGTTAATGTTGTATTACTTTCACATCAAGCATTTAATCTATGGAAAAATTTTTTGTCCGAACTCCGAACGTAGCTCTACGTGCGGAGTCTCAGTAATATATCGCCATGTGTGCTTTATGGGGCCTACCTAAAAAATATTAAAGTGAAACCGCAGACTCCGCAATAACCTAAAAATTCTTAGAAATACCCCGGAATAATCTCTGCGGTGAATTTCTCTTTAATAACCCAAAAATAATACCGCGTAGGTTAATTTTGGGTTATTGAATTGTAATATATGATTTTACTTCTATAACCCAGAAATAACCCAAAAATAACCTAAAAATAAACTCTGCGGTGTTATTTTGGAGTCATTGAAGTGGAACCGCGGAGATTATTTCTGGGTTATCTATGAGTTATTGAAGTAGAATATATGAGTTATTCTTCAATAACCCAGAAATAACTCAGAAATAACTTTCGTGGTTCCACTTCAATAATTCTGAAATAACTTTCGCGATGTAGCACAGGTGGTGACATATTATTGGAGTCCGTACGTAGGGCTACGTTCGGGGTCCGGATAGAAAATTTTTTCTTAATCTATAATGCATGAAGTAGTATAAAGTTACATTCTTTCCTTACCCGAGCAAGAAATTACGGAATGATTTAATTACTTGCAGGGATGCTTTGGATGGGGTTGGGTTGGTCCGGTACTGCTGCAGAAGAATGCTTATGACACACGTTGATCTTATTGAGAAGCTTCTTAATTACAACAGTAAGCTCTTCTTCCTACCTGCAGTTCATTGTTTACTCACTCGTCAACTGATTTCTTTAATTTTCTTCTTTGACAGCACTTGAGAAAACTGAGCCAAACGCTTGATTTGTGTTGACTTGTCTGCTATGGTCAAATGTCTTTATTATGGTAAGAAAATGTTGTGTGCTTAACTTTGGAGTAATTTGATTGTTTGGTTTGACTCGGATTAAGCCTTGTTGGGCAGAGATTCTTATATAGTTAATTATTCTATGTTTTTGCTTTCTCTCGTTGATTTGGTAATTTGTAAAAACTAGAAAATAACAAAAGAAATTTCTAGTTTTAGTGGAGATTTAAGAGGTTGGTAGCTAGGGGTGTAAACAAGCTAAGTTTGAGTGAGACCAATCTCGGCTCATGTTCGGTTTGTTAAAAAATATTGTTGTTCATGTTTGGCTCGTTAATATATCGAGCGCAAAAAAAATTATTCGTGCTTGGCTCGTTTGCTTAGCGAGCCAAATATGAGCTGTTTTCAAATCCCTACTTATGCAGTTGTAGGATATTAAGAATTGAGACGTGATTTAAATCTTATTATTTATATTAAAATATTCA